TATGTTATGCTATGGGACTGCCTAAAAGTGTCACTATAGACAGGTGGTCATTGTACACAGGTTTCTCATATGTTATGGGACTGCCTAAAAGTGGTCACTATAGGCAGGTTGTCTTTATATACAGGTTGCTCATATGTTATACATTGGGACTACCTAAAAGTGGTCACTATAGACAGGTGGTCTTTGCACACAGGTTTCTCGTATGTTATGCTATAGGACTGCCTAAAAGTGGTCACTATAGACAGGTGGTCATTGTACACAGGTTTATCGTATGTTATGCTATGGGGCTGCCTAAAAGTGGTCACTATAGACAGGTGGTCATTGTACACAGGTTTCTCATATGTTATGCTATGGGACTGCCTAAAAGTGGTCACTATAGACAGGTGGTCATTGTACACAGGTTTCTCATATGTTATGCTATGGGACTGCCTAAAAGTGGTCACTATAGACAGGTGGTCATTGTACACAGGTTTCTCATATGTTATGCTATGGGACTGCCTAAAAGTGGTCACTATAGGCAGGTGGTCACTATAGGCAGGTGGTCTTTATATACAGGTTGCTCATATGTTATACAATGGGACTGTGTAAAAGTGGTCACTATAGGCAGGTGATCTTTATATACAGGTGGTCACTAACACATGTTTGACTGTAGTTGCAACAGCGAGTAATCTTTTAAAAATTAATTGTTTAAAAAAAAGGCAACAAGTCGGCAACGATACAAAGAATGCACCCCTCACGGTAGAATCATTTGTTCTTAAAATTTCACAAACTGGCATGAAATGTATAATTAGAAACATACAAACACTTTGTGTTGTCCCATCATAGTCAATCGTTCTTGTAATATACCACAGTTAATTAAATAGAACTGAAAACAAATCTTGAGATGCGCCATTTTTAGTTAAAAACTGAATAATCTGATGTGAAAACGTAAAATTACGCCACATCACAAAATCGCAAAAAATACAACACTCACAAACTTCTAGGATTCTAGAATACACATCACAAAATTGACATTCCTGGTACTTGAAATCATGGACTAACAAACCCCAGAAAAAACAGTATCTTTTCACCTCATCAGTGTGTCTGATATTCAATCTGTGATCAATCGACCTGTTTCTGATTAATCTGGACACAATGTTTGTGTTAACACCTACAGCATTTTCTAAATATTCCTTGACTAAAAACCTAATCTTTAACCTGCATGACCCAGTGTGTTCAGCAATAGTAATAAAGATAAATCAGCTTCATATACTTGTACGGTTCTCCATTTTAATACTATTCTGCCTTTGGTTTGGTCCCAACATCACTGTAAATATAAAAATATCGATATTAGATTATTATCAGGTTGTTTAGACTGCACAAAATATAGTCAGTGTGATCATGTACTGTGAGTGAAAATACCAAAAACAGTAAGCTTCCAGAATTTTTCTATACAAAAACAATTCAATATAACTCTCAGACATTTCTTGTGACACACAGCATGTTATTATATATTTTAGCATCAATATCAATTATTAAATAATACTTTTAGTATAATGTCATAGCCAGAGCTTAATGCAGCGTATCAAAGCTGTATCTATGGCTGCATGATGAACCACATCACTCTTGAATATAACTTTAATTTCCCACAAACGACAGGGCAAAAACATGACGTTCTGTTGTATATTACACATAATGGATTAAAATTGCTCACATTAAAATACACAATACTTGCCTTTTTGGTTTTGGCTTTGTCAAAAGTGGATTCAGTACAAAAATATAAAGAGCTGGAAATAAAACCATGTAAAAGATATGCCCACACCAGTAGACAGCACTATATGCCTAAAAAAACATAGGATAATTATTACAACCTTGCCCATGATCACTTTGTCTACCTGTTGGGTCACACTAATGTTTGCTGGCATGTATACCTCCCACAACACCTGTCTGCTGACGTCTCTATATCCCACCACCTGTCTACTAACATGAGTCTACATCCCATCCCACCATCTGTCTGCTGCCATGTCTACATCCCATCCCACTATCTGTCTGCTGCCATGTCTACATCCCATCCCACCATCTGTCTGCTGCCATGTCTACATCCCATCCCACCATCTGTCTGCTGCCATGTCTACATCCCATCCCACCATCTGTCTGCTGCCATGTTTACATCCCATCCCACCATCTGTCTGCTGCCATGTCTACATCCCACCACCTGTCTCCTGACATGTCTACATCCCACCACCTGTCTGCCAACACTTGTCTACCTTCCACCACCTACGTCTACTGACATATGTCTATATCCCTAGCAACATGTCTAGATCCCAATATCACACCAATTATGTTATGTCTGCATGCAACCCTAGTTACATGTATACCTCAATTCATAGTGGAAGACTTACCTGTACTTGTCTTCGCCATGTTAGAAGATTAAATGCAAGAAGTGGATACCCCATGAATGTCAATTGCCATAGTTTGCACACTAAATAAGTTGGAACCTTTGTGATAGGGTTGTCCATCAGCTTGATAAGACCAGTTTTATTAGCAACCTCAACCATCTGAAAAGAAATAAAAATATATACACTTTCTGAATCCGTTGGATTTTACATTGCTAACTGCATAGTACAGTTTTGTCAGATTTTTAACAACACTAGTTGTAGTTAAACTGAAACTTAGATAATTGCATAAAAAGATCTGGATCATATATACATGTATTTAAACACATGTAGAACTAGAGCAGACGGCCATGTACTAGCGTGAACAGTGAGAACAGGTTAGTATTCCTTTGCTGTAACACATACACTACAGGTAAACAAAGTCAAAACAATTAAACCAGTAAACAAGATGCTTCGAGCTAGTCTTTGGTAGAGCTATTGTGTTCAGTTGAAAACAGACCCCCCACCCCCACCCCACCTTCACAAATATTGTTAACGGCAGCTATAGATTTGATATACTGTGGTTCAATGCATGTACTTTTCATGACCAGTCTCCTTCGCCCTAATTGTTCTGCACTTTTTTTTTATATATTCTACAATATCTCTGGAAAAGAACCATAATTTTGAAGCCAACAGATAAAATTTGTGTCAATTTTTTAGGCCAGAAGTGACTTTTTGAGGGGTCTGAGGGGTGAAAAAAACAGTGTTAAAGTGACTCACAAACCTAAAAGTACAAATAAATATTCAAAAGTTGTGAAAATTAAAACTTTCCGAAACGCAACGGAATTTCCGAAAGTAATTCAGAAGCTGTTTCAAACAATTTAGCTATATTTATGTTCCAATCTTCTGAAGGAAGATGCGGGACTATTTTGAGAATTTGTGATGAAAAGAGGGAACTGGTGGTGAAAAGGTTAATATGCATGTAGTAAAAGAGCGGCTTACCTTGTCTTCAACATTAGTAATAACAAACTCCATCATAAATGTCATATAATAGCCAGAAGATAGACCATGCCATAGTGCAAGGAAAAACAGAGTACATGCCTGAGAGATTTTTCTATTACCAAGGAATTTTAATCTTTTATATACATATCTGTGAAAAAAAAAAAATCACATGAAGGAAATTCACAATGAATCTAAAAGACCAAGAACCAATTAGAACACAGCTTGGTTCTACCCACAATTTATATCATCCTCTGAATATTTATGATCACCATGATTGCATTTTTAATCCAATATCATCAAAATTGGAGTACAATCCTGTGGCATTGACTTCGCTGAAAAACAGCATTATGCATTTATTATGCTTAGACTGTCGACAGTTCTCGGGCCTAAAGAGTCACTTATTTTCAAACGCTGTAGACGTTTTAACGAAATGCCGAATGCATTTCAAACGCCCTCATGGAAATTGCCCGGTGACGTTCCTGCTGAGACTTGTCACTCAAATGAAGTCTAAGTGAATCGATAAACAATTATAAGAGGTATAACAAGTATTGAAAGAGTATATCACATATGTAAAGTTGTCTATGACAGATGACAATCAGAATAGCTAAAAACTTTACAGTAAAAAACAAAAACATTTTGCCATATTTTATATAAATATGGGAAAAAAAAGGTCAAATTAAATTCATTTTTAGTTGCATTCTCAATACAACAATGTATTTATGTTCGTCTTCTGTAAATCAGTGTACTGTAATCAGCTTCACTTTCACAATTTTATGGCATTCCGATGTAAAAAATTGACAAAGGTCACCATGCCCCTAGAGAAATTTTAGTGCTGTTAAAAAAAAATTTCAATCGGTTTAAAGTAAGAATCCTATCAACATCCCATCCAGCAAATGTAAAATACTTACCGTAAAACCCATTGATTTGTGTTAGTATTGAATGTTTTCACAATCGATCTGAAACTTGGATTAAATAGAAACCTAAACATTTTTATATTCTCGCATGCATCCCACAATGCATTGCCATCCTTGTCTCTGCCATTGTATGCTAGGCCACTTAAGATACACGTGCCTTCCTGAAAAAAAAAAAAAAGTTAAAATTATTTTCGGTGTCAGGTAGCAAAGTTCTAGCTTGTTTTATAGCAATTGCTGTGGTTGTCACAGGTTTAAACATATGACTGAATGAATGTTTTGTATAAAACAAGCAACCTCTCGGCTGAAATAGCTCCGCTGTTAGCAATGCACATTTCAATTAAAGAACAGAAGATATTACAAAATGAACAATATGTATAGTATCAAAGCAATCAGACTTGCTGTTTTCAACAAGTCAAAAATATCACTTTTTACCAAAAATGCCAAAAATATTCATCAAAATTAGAGAATTTTAAAGATATCATCACGAAATGTACAAATGTAAGAGAGGTCTGTCCAAGGTACATATACACATCAAGTATCAAAGCATTCAAGCTTGTAGTTTTCAAGAAGAAGTTAAAAAAGTAAAAAGTTGACACGGCCGACACCGGACAATCACTCATATGATAAGCTCCACTTGACAAAGTCGACAGCGGAGCTAATAAATAAACTACTCACAGCAAAACACCATATTAACATGTATTTAAATAGTGTCATGTTACTCCATGCAGCCAATACCAGAAGACGTTTGTAAAATTCTAATTCCTGAAGAAGAAAAAAGTGAATTTGTCAATATCATGATTTTATGTACTGTTGGCACAATAAATAAATTGACTACCCACATGCATGTCATAGATGATACATAGAAACTGATTACAGTTATAAAAAGTCATGCATGGCACAGTCCCCGATAGTTATCAAACTTAAGGTATATAATTTTGTTTACAGTAATATAGTTCAAACATAAGCATGTCAGAGATGTGGATGATGATGATGCTTGATTATGGTGATTTTTTAAAAATGATTGACATTCAGTCATCTTGCATCTGATCGTCTAGTACTAGTACTTGTCCATATTGAGAGATATTGCTGTGGAACACCATTAGGTAAAACAAAATAGCCACTAGTCGTCCATTTTGAATACATCTGTATATCTATAACATGATGTACATGTAGAATGAATATACCGGTAACAATTTTAACATAATCAGTCATATCATGTCAGAGATACGGCTCTGGAAACACAGTCATTAAAACAAAATGGCCACCAGTCAGCCATTTTAAATCAGATTTGAAAAAATAAAATGACGCGCATCAGGGACTCATAATGTTTTTTAAGCACAAAAGTGGCCGCCGCTTGGCCATTTTGAATCAGATAGTCAAACAAATAAATCTGTACAGCTATGACATAATCAGTCAAAGCATGGCAGAGATATGGTACTAAAACTGCATTTAAATTTGATTTGAAAAACAAAATGACGCGCATCAAGGTACAATAACGTCCAATGTATGCACCAAGTTTGAACAAAATCCATCCATAAATGCTTGATTTTAATGATTTTTCAGCACAAAAATGGCTGTCATTCAGCCATCTTGAATCAAATCGTGAAACAAATTTATGTGCATATGTATAATAATATGTATGATGTATGTGCAAAGTTTGAAAGTAATCAGTCCAGGCATGTCTAAGATATAGATCCAAGCACACCGACACACGGATGCACAGAGGTCAAGCCATAAGTCGCCGTTTTCAGACTGCGTCCGAACAGGGACTAATAAAAAGAGATGAAGCACTATATTTTTACATGTTGATACTTTAAGGGCTTTGAGAGAAAAAAAAACAAAATTTAAAACAGTAGCATACTTAAAACTCAAGATAGTTTTATAGAACAGTGATATGTTGCATGCCTATCTGAATCATTCAGAATTTGGGAAGAGGTACACTGGGAAACAGAATCCCTGAATCTGAATCAAGTCGCATTAGGGCAGTCAGATCCTATCGATAATTCCCTCAGTTTAACATGATGTGTGGTTGGGAATTGTGAAGTGACTTGTACATTTAAAGTTATGCAACCTTGTTATTTAAAGGGTTGTAGTCGTCACGCAGTGCAGGTTTGAATTTCATGTAAATATATTTTACATGCGTGATATACTTTGTTATGAGTCCCATACGGAACAGGACGCAGCGTGACGACCACCACATTTTAAGAATTAAAACTGAATTCTATGCTCCATAAACCTAAGTCACAAATAATGGTAGACTACTAAGTTATGCAGAGTGCCCTTCCCAATCCGCTCAAGAATGGCCTGGTTGATTGCTATGGAGATGACACTAAATTCTGTGTCATCATTGATTGGCTGTCTCCATGACTTTATTGTATTGTAAAGGGTTAATTATTCACTGAGTTTTAATTTTGCTCATTTCGCTGACTGGAAAATGCGCTAAATTAAAACCCAGTGAATATGTAAAATTGAACATAGAACACATTATGATAAAAATGATAAAATTGTGAATTTAAAACCCACTGAATATGCCTGAAATGTTAAATCAGTAAAATTTAAACCCAGTAAAAATTAGTCATTTTACAGTAACTTACACAGGAATTCCCATGTTAATAGATAGAATTGAGTCTCAACTATTCTATAAACAGCTGAAGTTAGTAGTCTGCCATTCTGTGACCTAAGTCAACTGATGTACACACTTATTAAATCATTGTCAAATAATACTTACAGCAAAATCATTTGTAAGAAAATAACTTTCAGGAATCCAGGGAACTATGACAGTGTTGAGAATACTAAGAACTGTACCAAGAGCAAGTTTCTTCATCGCTGCGGCAACACAATTTGGTCTTTCACCTTTAGCACCATCTGTGAGCACACCATTACACATATCAAAATATCTCCGCATTGGAAACTGAAAATAATAATGATTCAATTTTCCATGATAGAGACATTTGTAATTAAAAGGGCTTTCAGGTCAAAAAAACTTTTTTCCAGATTTTTCAAAATATTTGAGATAGACCTTCAGCCAATGAAAAATTGTAACAGCAGAATTATAGAAAAATGCCTAAACTTGTGGAAATAATTTAATGAGAAATAACAGCCCGAAATGGCACTGAGGTAAACAAAAAAAAGTGTTTGAATTTCACATAAACGTGACGCACATTTTTCAAATATGTCTATAACACTTTTGAACAATTCTGTATGTCAATTTACGAATGGAAGAATTCACTTGTTTTTCATGATGAAAGGTATTAACAAATGAAATTAAAAAGCACAATCTAAAGAAAAACTGAAAATATGGCCATTGAACTTTCAGACTTCCTGAAAATCATTGAAAGTCACAGTCCCCGTTATTTAATTATAAAATACTCATGTTAAAATAATACATGGTACAACAGGTGAATTATATGTACTCTATGTGGGTACAACTCATCATAAAGTGATTTCCCTTCACTAGAGTGTTGTACTGATAACTGAAAACTTCCACACACAAGTGCAACAAAACTATGTCTCATACATGCTCAAGAAACTGCATTCATAAATCTGAGTAAACCTTGATGTGACTTTAATAACAACTTGACTTCTTTGTTAATTCAGGTCTTTGTATATTACCGGGATCTGGGTTTGTTTCATTATCACCTCTATAATTCCCATCGGAAATGTAGCCCTGACACCCCTCAACATTTTTTTCCACTGAGATTGAGGTCATGACCAGGTCATGACATCACTAAAAACCTGAGCATTACAATCTAAGCTTATTATTTATTCTGAGCATGCTCAGTTGCTCTGTCAGTGCAGTAGGGTGAGGTAATTTTGAATGAAATACAAATACAAAAATTAATATTTCTTGACTTATCATCATAGACACTATGCGTCATATTGGTACATGTATAGAGGGCAGCATATCTAATCTCAAAACAGATTACCTGTGGTCCTGAGAAGAATCCTCCGAAATAATACGTATAGCCTGCTATTTCCAGTAATGATGGCTTTTTAACTAACATAGTCATTTTCTGATCATTAGAGATTTCTTCCTACAAGAAAGCACAAATTTCAAGATCAAGACAAAGCATACACATGTAAATACATACATACATATCAAAAATTAAACACCAAATATATCAAAATATTATTAGCACTTGTACACTATTTAGTCAACTGCAGTAAATAACTCCAAAAATATCGGTTGTCTGCTAACCACAAAAAAAAAAAAATAGTGAACATAGGAAAACCTAGTGTGGCCATTATATTCTACCGTACACTAAGTAGGAATTGAAACTGAGTGGTAGGGCAAGTAATTAAATCTCTATTGTAATAATAATAATTATTATAAAACAAACATTGTGCAGCTGAGAATGGAATTAGATAAAATAGAAAAAGAAATAACTATTCACTGGTTAGATGGTAGTTCTGGGTACATTCGGTAATAATTATGCAGGAATATTAACTATGATTCATTGAAATCTAGATACAAGAGTTACATGTATGTACGTAATCAACCTTTCTCACAAGTCACGCTCTAGCTTCAATTTACTACTGTCATGACATTAATTATTAGGTGAAACTACAGTAAGACTATTCAAAAGTGTTTATTATATTTAGATCTGTATTGTTTTCCGTCAATAACAATGTCCCATCTAGACTGTTACCCAGTCATCTGTCTACCTGCCATTTTAGACAGACACAACATTTAATTTGACAGGCTGAATTTCTATGAACCTGCCAACTTTTATTGACAATTTCTATTTATGACAAAATAGCAATAAATACTGGTAGACTAAGTCTGTGGCGACAGGCCAGCAAATATTATATTGCATTTCAATATAGATTTTAGACATGCACTTCATTTTTTGGCTATAACTAATTCTGAAAAATCCATCAATGTTCACAAAAAGTTGTTTATTATTGATGTAGATACTAGTTTCCATTTACATGTAATTCTTAATTGAGAATGAATATACAGGGCACAAAATTAACAAAATGTTTTGGAAACCTGATGACAAATAAATGTCACATTGCTCAATTTGTGTAGGATACCCATAACTTTCAACACACATTGGTTCATTTTAAAATAAGAACAATTTTTTTTGTAAATTTTCAGTTGACCATTTGGGATACTAGGTTTGAAAAATGGTAGACCTAAGAAAAGAATTGGCGGTCAATGTGCCTCAAGCGACTGCTGATTTTAAGTTTTAATATACATGTATTAACCTTTTCACAACCAGACTTTCTCGTCCAAATTTTTCTGCTTTTTTTCCCTTACATTCTTCAATATTCCTGGGAATCAACCCCTAATTTTGGAGCGAATAGAAAAAATTAAATTTTCAGTTTTTACTTGAAAAAATTGGCTATTTTTGTCCCAAACTTTTGAAGGAGAGTGCAGACTATAAACAGCATTTTTTGAGAATTTGTGGTGAAAAAAGGGAACTGGTGGTGAAAAGGTTAATGTGGTTTGATAAAATTCCTCCAACTCATTACTGAAAACAAAAAATTGCAGAATTTTGGTGATAAATTTGTGTGAACTTCTATGTATAGTACCAATGAAATGATACTATCTACATGTATATCTTAAATAACCAACAGTACCATTAAACAAACAGATTTATCACTTGAAAAGACATTTTTACATCACAGAAATGAGTTGTCACTAGAGGAAAAGGCTAGAGTGGCAAATGATACTTACAGGAGGTCTACTGCCATCATATACGTCAAAATTTAAACCTATAAGTCTGAGTGTTAAGATACAGTGTGGCATGGTCCATGTGATATCGTATGTATCAGTAGCCGTATATATATATCCAGTTACCAGATAACCCTGTAAACAACGACTTAAGTTTAATAATCATATTTCTACTAAATTTATCGTCATTTCCTTCAAATTTCAAAATTGGAGTTTACTAGCTTGTTTCCTTGGCAATTAGTCCAAGTTTCCTATCAAAGAGTTTGCCACTGTGGAAATCTGCCTCAGTTGGATCATTTGTCTTTTATGGTTGTGTGCATCAAAGTCGACTCTGCCCGAACATGATCCAAGATTGCATGACAGTTTTGATGCATTAACAAAAATCTGACAGAAACTGACAGTCGTTACAATGAAAATTCAAACAAAAATGTTGTTTTAGATAGTCTACAGATTACAAGGGTAGCACCCACTACAGAACAGAAAAGAAAAGATGTTCGACAATGAATAGTAGTACCTAATAGTTTACATACTAGGTAAAGCCCAGTAGACAGTCTACAAGGGTAAACATGATCTACAAGTTTCGCACAATGTATAATAAGGTATGATATAATGTTACATTTTAATTACTGTAAAATCTGTATTAGAAGCCGCGGCTTCTATTAAAATGGTACAATGCAATAGAGGGGATGCGGCTTCTATTAGAGCATCTACACATATGAGAAACAATGAATTTTTGGTTCTCAAATGTTTAAAAAGAATAGATGCGACTTATATTTGGGATGCGGCTTCTAATACAGATTTTACGGTACTATTTAAAGAGGGTAGATGCTGTACTAAAAAGTGCTATGTAGTCCAGGAGTTACATGTTAAACCTAAACATTAAATATTCTATAGATTTAGGTATTAAACTAAAAAAATTGAATTGGAAAATAAAAAATAAAATATCTCTGCATGAAGTATTATATATATATAGCATATATAGCATGGTATGCATACAAGCATTTCTGAGACAGACTATCCAGGGAAACATACGTACCATATTAAAGATGAACGATATAATAATTGAGATGTCTGTTCCACCAGCAAAGTATATCAATAAATAATTGATAAATACAGATGATGCAGAGTGTAGGCTTTCAGCACCTGTATATAAAACATTAGATACAATTATTAGAATGTGACAGTATAGAGATATAACCTGAACACCGACTATTGTCAGATGGGTTCCTTTCCTCTACCCTAGTCTGGATCTACTGCCAAGATTTCGTCTCAACGGTCATTGGGTAAGCCTGACTTTCATTGGATGATATAGTAAACTGCTAATCTACATATATGCTAATTTGCTGAACAATTAATGACAGTTATGTTTTGCCTACACAATATATCAGCTGCTAGTTGCCATGGTGATAAAAAGAAATCAAATTTCACCCTATAATTGCACTTACTGGTTACACCAAAATTGAACTTGGTTGATATTTCAAAGTGATTGATAAGATTCTAAAATTTTAAGATTATCAGATAATATTTGTTTAAGTAATTGTAACAAAATTTTATATGAAATTTAATGAATATCTTTAATAATATAAATGCACAATAATCGAAGTAGGCCAAGATTCCAAGCTGGTTAATATAATATCCAAGTTTGAAAGAAATTAGATAAAAACTGTTTGAGTTATTGTAACTACATGTACAAGTGAAAGTTTTACAACGGAGTCAACAACGACGACGACGACGACGACAACTACGAGGACAGACATTTTCCCCTCATACATGACTTGTCAATGAATGAAACTTTAACTGTGACTATAGAGTGCATACTTACCATAATTGAAATATGACAACATGAGACCACATATAACAAAGTATGCATGGTGAAGAGTAGCAGATTTACCATGGAGGAAACTTCTTTGAAAGAAGGCTAATGGAAAACCTGCAAAAAAAAATAAGTTTAAGAAGCCCATTTTGTTTTAAAATATTTTTGTGTTCAACTTCGGACAAAAAAATGTTTCAAATAATAATAGGGAAGACACGTAGATGAAAAATCATCAAAAAGTAACAATGTTATGAGAGGGGGAGTACCCTGAAACAGGCAAGTGAATTATCCTAACATTATGTACAAATGTATTTGAATGTGCGATAGAGGAAGTCAACAGACGTTTTCAAGAAATTATAATTATATATATATATTATAATTATTTTTTTAATCTTTTTTTCTGCATTGGTTTCTATGGTAAACATACTTATCAATTATTTAAGATTCATTCATATTTTACATCCAATACAAGTATTTCATAAAGAAGATTTCTTTCTAAAAGCAAGATGTAATGTAATGTAATGAAAAACAAGGCAAGTAGGTTGAATGTGATTCGTCAAGATTTCAGTGTTTTGTTGTATGTATATGTCAATCGAACTTTGCTTCCAGTGAGATTTTACAACGGTGTGAGCAGGTTCGGTGACATGTACCATGGTTACAGCAGCTATGATTTTGCTTTTAATGTGGTGTTACTTGTGAATAAGTTTATATTTTTATAATATACAAATAAGTAAGTAAAACAATAATATTCTACTTTATATTGTATAATTGTATTAACCACGGCATAGCCACAAGTTTCCATTGTAGCTGTGTATCGCTGGTCGTATCATTGCCAGGTATCGTTAACTTTAGTGCAGATTGATGCGTAACTGGACTAGGCACAAACACAACATTATTAGTTGTCAATCAATCAAAACAAAAAACTATCATTTGCTGCCAAATTTTAGATTCGACATTGACTTTTTCACTTGTTTACCTGACAAAAACTTAAATGTCAATTGCTACGAAAAAAACTCAAACTGGTGCTATAATTTGTGATGAATTCTGAGAAGTTTATTCCCCATTCAAAGAAAAGCAGGATTGCTGTAATTGTATAGCCTAGCTTATTCCAATGCAGCTAAGGTCAGTCCCTCACCAATACCGACTGCACAGATGTAAGGGACCCATTGTTCAGTACTTTGTGGCAATAAAAAATCATAAGCCACTACAGACAAAATATAATGGCGACTATGTTTAACAAATTTGTATTTTATAATTGAATCTCTGATGTGTTGGGTGTTTGAAAATCTCAATTTTGCACTTTACCAATAATATGCAACATATATATCTATTTCGAATAGATTGATATAGTATATTTTCAGACTTCAGAGAAACAGGTTTTCAAACACGCGACCAAAAGGTTTTCAAGAAAAGGTTGAAAAAAGCATTTTTGATATTATATATATATTTGTTAAAAATAGAGAATTGATGAAGATATCATCATGAAATGATCAAATCTCTGAGAGATCCACCCAAAGAACATATATTCCAAGTATAAAAGCAAAAGAGTTGACTGTTTTCAAGAAAAAGTCATTCAAAAAGAACACCGACAACAAAGCAAAAAAACAGTGTGATACACAACATTATTCCAATGTAGTAATAACACAATATTTACAAGTAGAATCAATATACACATTTTACTTTTAATATAAATAAACCATATGATCATTTATACATGTATCACTAAATATAGGTATGTAGTACTAGCATAAGATAAAATCCCATGGCTGGTGTTCTAATGTTATCTACGCTAATAATATAAACAAGTACATCCATGCCAAGTGACAGTTTGCCGAGCACTGCCGCTGCATTAGACATATGGGGTACCGCTGCAGCTGAGGTACTTTCAGAGGAAGAAATAATACATAAACTAAAACATGTACATGGCTAATAGCAGCAGAACATTCAATAACCACCTAAGAAAGCAGTTACAAATTTTTCCATGATCCAAGGTTGAAATATTCTACTATATTTTATAAATTGCCTAGTTTCATGTCATGCAATCTTAGAACGATTTTCGTTAGTTGGAAGATGCCAGACAGTAACAAATATGCTGAACACCTTGACGAAATGAGCATGCTACATTCAACATTGTATGTTAAAACAGGTGAGGGACATATAGTGTGACATCAATTTTGAAATAGATCAATAGTGGTTGTACAATAGTAAATGATTACAACGCTTCCAGCAAAAATTAGATGAACCATGGCTTGTATTGTATTTCTGTGATGACAAATACAACATGTTATAGACGTCACAATTTAATGTTTAGTCGGAATTGTATGTACAATAAATGCAACCAACTTGCTACAAAATAATCTTAGTACCGGATTCTGTCGTAAATTCGCCCTGGGCCGTTAAATGGCAGTCCCCCCCCCCCCCCAAGAAGAAAATAGCTAGCGGCTTCAACCTTTATGCACTTTGAATCACAAGACCTGGTTAGATTGTTAGGTCAAAGGTCAATCACAGTATGTGTGCAAGTATTTTCACAATATAACACAAAGGGCAAAAAAATGTTTTCAAAACTGTACAATCTTTACTCATGTGACCCTCAAAAACCTGGTTAGATTTTAAGGTCAATGTTATAAAAGTGATATAAAGGAAGAACAATAGTTTAGTCTTCGAACAATAGTTTAACGTCTTCATTAAACCGCATAAAAAGAAAGATGACCGCCAGTTTTCAGTATGCAAATAACACTCAAGCGTGAAACATCACTCATTTCGGCAATCTTAACGCCTGTGGTGCTTTATTTTCATGTCGTACACAAACATGAATATATCCGCGATGCAATTTTGATGTTAATAGAAGGTACTCCAAACCAAAAATTCACCATTTCCCATATGTGGTGATGCTTTATTAGAAGACACATCCTGTCTGTCGCATTTTACCATTTTAATAAAAGTCCTGGCTTCTAATACAAATTTTACAGTACAGTTTGCTGTTGAAATTGTATCATTAATTAAGGTCTGCCCATACTGTTTACAATAATAATAATCTTTATTACATGTATATGCATAAGAAATTTTTTTTTGATATGTAAATAATAAAGTATTTTGTCTTTTTTTTTATATTTGACCTATTTCACATGAACCTATTTTAAGGTATTATGACCTATAAGGTATTATGAACCTATTTTTAAGGTCACATGACCTATTTTAAGGTATTATGGTTACATCTATTCTATTTTCAGTAAAAATCATGATAAACACTGTACAGCAATTCTACTGGATATTTTGTTACATATTTTACTTAAAATGATTTACAGATGACGCTATTCTCTACCATTATGCAGTATTTCATTGTAATATGTTATCAAACCTGGTTCATGTCAGGGGCGGATCCAGCAAAATGTATTGGGGGGTCCAAGCTTCGCTTAAAATTTACGGAGCGTAAATCGCAGAGAAGCTATGCGTAATCCAGATGATATGAATGATCGTACGGGGGGCATTGTCCCCGCCCCCCTCTGGATCCGCCACTGGTACATGTACATGTGAACTCAGTTATTGTAATGTGCCAAGAGAGCAAATAAAACACAAAGCCACCTAGTCTGTTTAAGTAATGTTTAGTTTGTTATTGTCTTTGTTTTTATGTTTTCTATGTGCCATTTATGTCTACAATGAATCATGGAGCTAAAAAAAGAAGGAGACTGAACTGGTTTTAATCCTACTTGAGTCTTTTGTTTTCAGCTGATTATTCTTTTGTGTTTACGCGCCTTTCATGTCGATGACTTCTGCCGTCACACTGATTATTCAGCCGTCACCGCCTTCCTGAGGTGTAACGATCATTTTTGTTCTGCGCAGTTGACGTCAAAGGTCGGTGAACATGCGCGTAGCAGTAATTACAGAAGAGTGTCATCAGTTCTACAGGTCTGCGTTTGAGTCATGGAAATCGGACGGGTTTTCAGCAAGTTATTACAATGTATGTGGTTCTCGTAATGTCGAAAACATTGCTCACAAGAAATTGATTTTAAAATAAAATACTTGGCCGCAGATGATAAAATTACCACCGATATATAGTGTTTTCTATGTACTTTCCAACAAGCTTGAAATGAAGTTCGAGCTCCCATGGCCAAATTCACAATCACGTTTTTCATTTCTGTTCATCTGTCCTACTTCCTGTGTGGGCCCTCATAGACAGCACATGCTTTGGATAAACGACGCGTTAAATTTGAGCTCCGGTAAATTCTATTTTTCGTAAAATCTTTTCCCGCGGACGCCGAAATTTAGTTAAATAGTAAGCTGACCTCTTCTACGTCATGCTAGGGTAGGTGCCAATAGCGACATATCACGGCCAAACCGGCAATCGCCGATTGAATTTGACATGCGTTGCGTTGATTTGTGTTGATAGCTCATATTAAGGGATAGGGGATAGTTATATTGTGGCGGGTTGGAAGTTAATGATACTTTGTTCCCTCACTACATTGATTTCATCACAATTACTTGTGTATTACACATCACCAATTTAGAAGTTACTGTGTAATTCTGGCCATGTTTTTTTCCTACTTGAGTCGTTATAAATTTTTGTTCGTCCCTCACCCTGCTTTGTAATAACGACCGAACTCATCCGAGAACGTCCGATCATGACTAATTAAATATTCACGTCCAGTAATCCCCCAATAAACCCGTCAAGTGTTATCTGTTGACCAAATAGTCGGCAGAAGTCATGGTAACAATAGCATCAAAGGGAGTTCACTTCACTCTCCTTCTTTTTTTAGCTCCATGAATGAATAATACACGTCACAACACTATCCCCTGAAAAAATGATCGGCCCCCACGCAGTATTGATCCCAGAGGCAATGACAGTATGATCAACAAAAGGTACTTTTTTGCTAGCCCTGTGTTCTAGGTTGTTAGTGCCAATGGGCTTTATAATATTTGGTTGATGTCACTTAAATCTAATATCAGTTATTAAAACCGCCACTGAAGTCACGTTACAAGGCAGTCATGGTCCCGGGTCATCGACTGCTCAAGATCAGACAAGTGCATTCAGTTGTTAGTTCAGTGGGCTTTATAAAAGTATATTCGATCACATAAAGCCAATATTATTATTATTGTTGCCACACATGCCTTTTCGCCATGAACACGCGCTACAAGTGCCCCCCCCCCCCCCCCCGTTACTACCCGGCGTGTTGTGATCATTTCAACTACATTTCGACGGTAGTACACAGTGTTCGTTCCCATAACGACACGCTCGTGACACTTAAATATCAGTGCATGTATATTGGACTTACCTGCTAGTACTGCAATCAAAAAACGCAGCGCGGGTTCCGGTAGACTCAATAAATCAGATAAATTGGCGATAGTGTTGTTACAGAACGCAATGAGCTCCGCCATCTTGGATTGGATCCTGCCTCGATCTCGTGGTGACCGCACGTTACGTCTGGGTGCCCTGGTTATTTTTACAAAGCGCAAAACCGCCCATCATATTTGCATACTCGGTGACAAGGGGTCAACTATAACAATGCCCCACTTTTGAACTGAAATTAGAGCGTGTCCGACTCAACTTTGCCCCTTCTGTATAACTTCATTGACATTACTATCTCTGAAATGAACGAAAATGATCAATTCTGAAAACGTATTCAACGTGAAGTTCATCAAGAAAGATATATTTCCTAAATGTATTTATTTATTTATTTATTTATTTATTTATTTATTTATTTATTTATTTATTTATTTATTTATTTATTTATTTATTTATTTATTTATTTATTTATTGCTTCCCTTTTGTAACAGAGGCTCATTATGTAAATTAGGAGCTGCTATCGTGCCCCATATGTTAGGCTTTGATGAAAAGTACAATAGAGTAATAAAATTTGAAAATATGAAAAAATAACTAACACTAACAACACGGGAAAATCAAACAAGACGCTCAAATTTCTAAATTGTGAAACAGCTGTTTGATTGGATTTTCTCGTATATTAAAACAGTTATAACTATGTTTCGTAACATCATTTATAATGTTTTCATCTTTATTGTTTGAAATATTAATAATGTTGTGTTTTCTGAACAAACTTTCTCTTTTCGTAGCGTATAACTGACATGACAGCCAGAAGTGTTGCTCATTTTCAATTTTTTTTAATTTCACAAACTGAACATTTTCTATCAGCGATTGCTACGTTATTGCATCTTCCCATATCAATCTGTAAGCAATGGACAATTATCCTAAGTTTGGTCATTGTAGAAAATATACATACAGAAAAGAAAAGTAAAATCGCATTTTGTCGAGGCCACTGATCCTCTGCCTGAGCAATAAACTTGAGTGTCCACGAAGCTAATATTTTGTTCTAATAAATTATTGTTTTGTCCTATGAAATTAATGTCTTGTCTGAATAATGTTGTGTTTTTCATAAGAATTGTATATTTTGACTTACGAGATTGAAGTTTTAACCTCCATAATTAAAGTGTGGCCTAGGTTTTTTTTTCTCTCAAAAAATGTATATAAAAAACACACTTTGGGATATGCTTTACGTACTGTCATATATATTTTGTTTGGAAAAAAAAATGTTTGTTTTGTTCTCACATATCACAACACAAGTATGAGTGCACAAGTTTGTGTTTACTCTAGGTACCTAAACTGTGTAAGTACTGCTTCATTATTATTTAAGATTGTTCACACGTGCCGAGAAATGGAGGGTTCGAACGCCGAGTAAATATTCAGTGGGTTAAACCTGCTCTCTGTTCATGCGTTGCAAATAGGTTTAGACCACTAAAAGAAGTCTGCGATTTACACCTATTCACGCACTCCACGGCTACTTTTACCACTAACTTTTACCACTGTAGTATAAACAAATATGACGGACCAAATCATCGTATGTTACTTCTTTTCGCACTTTCGCGTGCTAGACGGTTTTAACATCGTTCAAACAGACCATCATTGCGTTCATTATATCATTTTTGTTGCATGGATTCTGTATTTGAGTTAGAAATACATTTAAAGGGTTACAGTCTCACAGTCTTCGCGCCGCGCATGTGCGACATTTGTGTTGTCAACATTGATTTTTCCACAATCCAATGCACTTTTCTAATGAAATCAACGTCTACATCTTTGTTTATATGAGACCCATATCTTGCACATGCGTGGCGCGACGACCACCAACCTTTAATTCAAACTGCCGAACGAAATAGCTCCTGCTCATCTACAATAGGGAAGAAATGTGTTATTGGATTTTACAAAGGATTGTAGGATAGAAAATTGAACTATAGAGGGCGTTGGAAGGGCCTCATATACTAGTACTATTTTCCATACACCCCAGTGCGCTAAAATCAACTGTTAACTGTTAGGTTTTCAAGCAACGCGTTAGTTTTTTTTAAGTTTATGGTTATATTGTTGGACTTCCCATTAATTTTACTGGGAAGAATGTTTCGAAGATTTTTTGTAGACTTTTTACTGTTTTAGACTGCAAGCTGTCTAACTGTAGGAACCGTAGTGAAGGGTAAGTGTACCCGATTTCTACTCATTCATTTTTTCTGATTTATGTTTTATTATTTTCCATATCACAGTTGAAAATAAAATCTATCTTGTCTACTGAAATAGTTTGGTTGATTTTAATTCAGTTTTAAAAGGCATTTTAAGTGTGTGGCAGTGTTCCGAATTAAAACAATGGAGCACTTCACAATTTAAGAGTTGCTGACACCTTTTTTGACATTGGTGTAATCTGCAGTTAAATAAAAGTCCAGTCTGTATAAGGAACTGTTAATGTAGGAATGTATCGCTGGGTTACAACTTGTTACTGGGATTCAGTTAGAGACATGATGTTAGGACATCAGAAGGGGGCGTGGCTGTTACCACACTTAAAATATATTATAAACCTGATTTAAATCCACCAAAATTGTTAGTAGACAAGATAGATGCATGTTTTTTTAATTTATGGCAAATTAAAAAAAAAAAACTAACGCGTTGCTTGAAAACAGGAGAGATGAAAAGCTGATTTTAACATAGCGCTCTATCGAAAAGATGTGAGTTACCCCCCCCCCCCCCAACAGTTCTTGGTGTCCGTCCACAGCAAAAATGCCCCGTTCTTTCCAAATGAAAACTAACAATTTTGTCTTATCTATTGACCGAGTAGTGCCGTGCGCATGAGCTGTTTCCATAAATTCATTGTCAGTTTGTGTTTGTAATTGGTCCTTGCAACGTTTGGGGATTGTCTTAGAGAATGTTGTCTGCCACTTGTAATATAATAAGCCGATACCATTTATAACGCCACAAGAGGGCGCATTTCAAACCCGAGTTATCGTTCACATGTGTCTCAACTCGGGATTAAACACTGAACTCATGGCCGAGACGAGCCCTTTGACAATGAGTTAACTACCCCGGGTCGAGACCCGGTCATTCCGTGTCACACGTTTTTCAACAGTGACTAAAATAAACCCGGCTTCGTGCTCCACACGTGTGTATGGCGGAAGCTCAATGAAGTGTGGACGGAGTGTGAAGGAGGATTTGCTTCTGTGTTTTGTAAACATATACAATAAAATATGAACAAATGTTATTTCTAAGGGAAATGTACTCGGGACTCTCATAGAACCCACTGTTCGACTTGGATATCAACGACAATTTCTATTTTTCTTAAAACGTTTTAATTTATTTATTTATTGTAATTAACTAACTGCTAAACTGAGTGTTAGTAGAACATGATAACCTTGCCAAAAGTACAGATCCACAAAGTGATTTTTTTTTTCGGTTTGCAAAAATCCAAATAGCGACACGGTGGGTATCTCTGTGATGTTGCCGTTTGATTGTGCTGTTTGTCGAGAAAAGCCCAAATTTCTAAGTTGTCTTTTGTTTCTTTTAGAACGTGACCCGTATTTTGTAAAATGCTGCCCGAAAAACATGATCCCATAGTGACATCAACAATTGTGAAGAAATAGTTACCATTTTATAAATGATAGGACAATTATTCAGTATATATATATATATATATATATATATATATATATATATATATATATATATATATATATATATATATATATATATATTCTGAATAATTGTCCTATCACTTCTAAAATGCATATATATATATATATATATATGCAGCATAGGCATAAGTTTTTCTTGACGCTTGGCATGAGTGGGAAGATGTATTGTTTGTCTGAATTAAAGTTAAGTCGATTGAAGCTCTGATTCAAATTACATGCACATTGCTAACACGCAGTACAATATGGAAGATTAATTACAAATTCGTAGGATCGAACGAGACTAGGTTTCAAGCCGCCAAATAATAACCCAGTAATTAGCAGGGGTACCTGCTAATGACTCGACGTACCATATTTCTCATCCACTGATGCTGCAGATGCTGTCCAACAGATCAGAAGAAATATAAATACTCGAACTGCGGCCATGATGACACGAATCATTCGTTGTAATGAGTCCCCCTCGTGATACACCCTAACATATACTTCATTATGTATTTCAAGTAAGCTTAGATATGCACCTATCATTACGAGTGATAAGCAGTTGGTTAATTATTGTTAAAATGTTATCGTGTTCGCATTCACCCCACTTTGTGTCTGCCTATTATAAACACAATGGCACCAATCGTGTGGACCTGGGGGAGGGGGTACTCATCTGAATTGTGGGTGGAAGTGCTCCGCAGCCAGTTGAATACTTTACTCCAAATGATCGACGTTGAAGATGTCTTTTGGTTAAAATTTTTTTAAATACATGTATCTCTAAAATAGCCGAAAATCTTGAAATTGGGGGTCAAAAAGATGTTTTATGATGATCAAAACAGCGGCGTACACTTCAACAATGTGAGTACGTAATTTCTAGTCTGAGTGTAGTGCGCCCTCAGCGATACTATACTCAAAATAACCTTTAAGGTGGCAACAGGGGAAATCTGGTCAAATGTTCATGTTTTTTTAATAATCTGGAAATCCGGTCAAATTTTCATGTTTTTTTAATAATCGGTCATTTCCGTTGATGAAGAAGTACGCTCGCGAGTGTGACAAACATTCGCTAATTTTAGTAAAATTTGAGTCTGTAAACGAGCAAAGTAGCGACATGCTGCCTTGCCGTTTTTGAAAGACAAGTGGAGTTCGGTTAGTGGAAGACATGGACAGACTCCATGGATGGGGCAGCTATTTACACTACCGTAAAAACTATTAATTCTCTTAATTTTCCCACCTATTTTATTTTATTATTATTTGTAAACTGTAACAAATAACAAATTCAAACTAACCCGAAGCTCATTTTATTCACTGAATAATAATAAAAAAAAATTATGAACACAATATATCTAAATTAATTGGTCACGAAATTAATTATTCTCTGTCACGAGGTCTAGCGAAAGTTTCCTAGTTGCATTTTGGGTAAAAACGAAATCCTAGTATAAAGTCACGTATGTGGCATGGCTTGTGTTTATGTATCTATTTCTTGGGTGTCTTGCTATAGTATTGAATGAAGTCGATTCCATACTCTTTGCATTTTCGTTGTTCCCATTCCTCGAATTTTTCATTTTGGGCCACTGTGAATTGTCCCTTCCAACCGCCAACGGTTCCTGAAAAATTTGAAATAAAAGTTAAATTTAACGATTGCCTTCTGGCCTTCTTTACTTACCTACAATTGGTTAGTAGTAATATGACATAGAAGACAACAGACTGGAAGTGGTAAATTAAATAGTGCTCTAATGCCTTGACTGTTAATGTATTTCAGTACCTTTGCGTTGCCAATGTCTGTTTTCACGTAGGAACACGTCGCGTTGAGTTACAGTTTTCATATATTCCTTCATGTTATTAAAATCGGTATGGTCTACGACTTTCTTCATTTCTTCAGGCGTCAGGTCGTATCCAAGGAACTTCGCAACTTTCTCCGAGGCACCTTGACGATCCTGTAGTTTAATGAAAGGCATTGCCATTGTCAGTTTGGAAACAAAGAAGGTGAAACATATCATAGAGACATAATATATATCATATACTATAAGATATATACACATTACTTAGAAGTAGAATGAATTATTCGTACCTCTTTCATATCTTCATATTTTAGATGCAGAAAGTTATCTTGACCACTCAGTTGCATCCATGTTGCTAAGTGTTCAAACCAACACCCATATATTGCTAAATAATAATATAAAACAAAACAAAAAATCATCAGTATATTAATAATTCGATGGTTGTCAATATCGGAACCAGAAGTTAAAATATTATATGCTTTTAGGTAATTTTGGCTCTGGCTGAATTAATCCTTACTAAAATAGAAGTATACTTTAAGTAAATCTATTTCATACTTTTAGATTGACAATTATGTTACAAGTTTACTTATTATATACTGTTTTATGTTATTTGCATTTGTTTTAAAATAAGTATTTTATGCATCCTTACTCTGTATTTTCGTCCATCAACAATGGGGACTAACTGGGCCTAATAATGGACAAGTACTACACTGTGCATAGTCGAACCATTAGTCTTAATGAACATATTGAGGGACTGCATCCTGTTATACATACAGCACCAGTCATTAATCATTCCGAGCAATGGTCGTAGATTCACATTCAGTATGCAAATTAGTTAGTATGCAAATATGTTAATTAATATGCACAGTTTAATGTCAACCCCGTTTTATACAAGAAATACACCAAGTTTTAGTGTACAATATTTGAATAATAATAATAATTATCTTTATTGCGTTCGTATCCCTATTAGGATTTTGACTAAAATGCAATACAGATGTGAATAAAGACAAACATACAATTAAAGTGAGAATAAAAATACACACAGGAAAATAAAAAAAAATGACAAGCAAATAAAAGTAGGGGAAAAAGTAAATTGGATTGTTTTTCCATAATTTTGGTTGGTGAATGTTTGAATGTTTGAACATAAACGCTGAAAATGGTTAATTGGTATGTAAATTAGTATGCAAATTATCAAAAAATGTAGCTATATAAACAGCATGTATGCACCAATATTTCAAATCCATTAGAGAAAACTAGATGCAACCAAAACGTGGAGGCAGGAATTATGTATGCAAAGTAGGTAATTAATATGCATATATTAATATTAGAAAATAATATCATTCTCTGATTCGCACAGTTCTATTCAATTTGTGCAAATAGTTTAGACACAAACAAAAATATAGTGGAAATAAATAGCAAAATATTCACATCAATATCAGCTGCAAAATCCAAAGCTATTTTTTATTCTTGGGATATTAGTAGGAGAACATAAACACACATACACACGTTCGACGGCTGCTCTGACTACCATACTATACTACACTTACTTTGACCTTCTATATAGCGATCGAAATAATAATCCCATTCGCATGGCTCCAAAAACTTCACAGTTGCATGCCACTGGTGGAGAGACAGGCAACAGTCCCTGGGGTTTCTTGTTACAAAGATAATCTGAAATAATACATTGTTTGTAAGTACATCAGAATTAAGGTACACGCTTTTTTCATTGCGAGATGTCACTGTAAACAACTGGGAAGTACATGGACAAGCTGGTTGGCGGTCCGCTCCGCTCAAAAACAAACAACATGTTTTCGGCTGTGGCCATGGTAAAATATGAATGTGAAGCTAACGTCGGTTAATAACTAAAAACAGGGACCGCATACAAAGTTCGCAACTTGAAAGAGCATCCAGTCCTCAGTCTTCAGAAGTTATTTTAAGGCCAATCCTAAGCGGAGCGCCAAATATGGGCATATGAGACAACCCATGTGATTGTGTTATAAGTCGGATTGGTCATGTTGTTGCTGTTGTTGTTGTTGTTGTTGTTGTTGTTGTTGTTGTTGCCAAATTGAATCTCCCACTTTCTCGTATGCAGTATTGTTGAGATAAACGACATATAAACTATATACCCTAGGTTTTTTAGTGAAGAGCTGCGGTGGCATCAGGTCACGTGGCAGATGAGTCTGGAGTTGTCGAGGCGACTTCCACGTCGTCACCTTTTTATATGTTGCAACATCTATGCCTGGTGCCGGGCCTAATTCAAGCAGATTCAGTTTGTCTTCCATCTTTTTGCCTTTGATGGCATCGATGTCTCCTCTGTGCATAATAGCATCCACGATCTCTAGGATGAAAGTTGTACCTGCAAAATTGTTTTACGAATATTACGTCATTGAGGTCATATATTGTTTGTTGGAGTATTGAAAATATCACTATAACAACTATAGGGATAATTGTGAGTACTGTACAAGAAAGGATCGCTTTCTAAAATTTGATTAGAAGCATTATTCATTGTTTTTCTTACCAACAATAATGGGAACATAATCCACTTTTCTTTTAGAATTCCTAGCCTCACTATGCGTTGTATTGTGTAATCTAACCTTGAAGAGGTTAAAGTGCGGAGGTCGTGATGTAGCAATATAAGCAATATCGAATACAGCGCGGAGCGACTGCCATCGCGCATCACATTGTTAGTGATTAAATACTATGACAGTGTTCGATATGGAGGAGCTCCCCCCCAAAAGGCATTGACGTTAAGAAAAGCATCGCAGTGATATAATATATCGCTGACCAGCGCTTACAGCAACGAAACAATGTAATTAGTTTTTCCGAATCACTGTTTAGCGTCAACAGGGAGCTGTAATGACAGCTCCCTGGCGTCAACATCGAAAAAAAGGTGTAATACGGTGGCTATAGATAAAGAAGTTTCGACTTCTAACATTCTAAAATATTTGTACATCGATATCGCATCAGAATTTGAATTTGTGAACTTAGTTGGGTATTATGACATGTAATGAGACGCACACATAGTAGTAGACGAACAACTTTGGCCATATTGACCTTTAAACTCCCAACTTCGTTGACACGTGTGAATGTTCCCAAACTGAGGCATTGTGGGAGGGGGTGCTTAAACACCAGTGATACCATTGGGATTAAATACTAGGTTTTCCTAAAATATATTATTATAGTAAAATGGGAATATATATGTGCAATTTGCATAAACGAAATATGTGACTCAACTTCAAAAATAGACAAATATGAATCATTGATAGGCGTTTACTCTCAGGTATAACAAAGTGGACCAAAGTCCCATAAATTACTACTACCAAATTGTTTATTTTATCATATTTATCGATTTACATAGCTTTACTGACAAGTAGATTCAGTCGCTGACCCGTACTTTATTCAACGGGTACAGTATAATAACGCTATAACCGATAATGGATATAGATATCCATTCAACAATGGAAAGGATAGAATGGACAGATTGACCCGACCCGACCTGGCTTTAATAATAATCATTGATAAAAAAAAATGCCTCGTCGCCTGTCTGGCGCCACCCTAATCAGATCCATGAAAGTCAGGCTCAATGAAAAATCTCACGCACAGCGAAAAAAACACCGAATGAAAATTCGCCAATTGTTCACTGCGACAAACTATTAAGGTGTCAACAGGTGTAAAACGATTCAACATTAAATATGTGGTATGCCACTGTAATAACCTATACATAAGTGGTTTGTCGAAGGGATTACCTAACGACCAATTACGCTATTGTGTGTTTTTTTTTTACTATTTTACTATTTACTATTTTTTCTACTTTAAAGCAAATTATAACACAACATGTGTTCTCATTCTACTGTAACATTTGGGAGATAACGCCGCTTTAAACTGTTGCTCAAATGAGGTCACAGTGTAAAACATGAATGTTTGATAGATGCGATGTTTTTGCTACTCACACTGCGTTTGCGTCTGATTTCAAATACAACATTGCTTCTGCCAGACAGATAGACGCACGAAATGCTACATTGAAATCTACTTCATTACCTATAAAGCCTAACACCCTTTGCATAAATGTCCCATCAAAGCATTCGTATATTGATTTAATGACAGTAATTTGAACATGTTTCTGTTCGATTTTTTCCGAGATATATCGATACATGATGATACCGGTTTCCACCGCCCGCCCCCACTCCGCAAACACACACAAACACTAATATACCTGCTTTCGGGTAAGTTACAATGTATACGTCATCGTCGCGGACTTCGAAATCTTTCAGTGCCTTGATGCTATCGGGATGCATAGCAGATACCATCAGCCTTTCCTTCCTTCCATCAACGTAGTACGTCTTTTCGAATGGAGCTTGTAATTCGTTGTTTTCTGTCATGATTCTCAGGTGTGCGTGTGTGTATGTGTGTAACAAGAGACAGTGTGTGATGTCGACTGGTCCAGGCTTGGTCTACTCTAGATTGAATTGTGATTGTCGTATATACGGGGGCTCACACAATCTGATAAGCGTACTTGTGTGGGTCACATAATCTAAGGGAGTGATCATTTGAAATCCTACGGGTGGCTGAAGGATTTGTTGAAGATAGAAAATGAATTGCAAGCTAAACATCGAGAAATAAAATGAACGTGCAAGGTGTTGCAGGAAATAACAGTTGGCACATTAACACAAATTAAAAATGTACAGAACGGACACCACAAAAACCAAATCTCACTGGCCACCCCTCTCTTCTGGCCACCATTTGTGATTTCAATGATCAAAGGTCATACGCTGTACTTAATAAAACGCTCGCTTACAAATGTGACTGGACTTTGACTAATGATGCTGTAAATTCCCTGACAAAAAAGTCACACCATACTAAATGTCATACTAAATTGTAACCCCGTAGTCCTATCAGTCAATCAGATTCCCGCATTTTCCGGTCATATATTTATGTATTAATGAGCCGGCGGAAATATTATAGTTCTCATCTTGAAAGCGAATCACGTTCATGTTGCTTTCCCACGATGTCCGATAAGCAATGATTTGTCAACAGAGGGCATATTATGGGCGTATATCATACAGAATGGTAAACTTATATTATGTTTATGAATATACTGTAGTAAGCATCTATGACAACAATGTAGAAGTGTATATCAAAGGGAAAATTAGGGATTAAAACAGGCCATAGTACAAAACAAATTGAAGCTTGCTTGGAGCACAACAAACGAGGTCACATGTAGAAAGGTATCGCAAAGAGGCAAAGCCTCTGGAAATACATCATCTGAAAGAATCCAGTTATGGCAGAATCACTTTAAAAACAAACCAACAGAAGAGAACAGGCACCAAGAAATTGAAGATGTTATATCACAAACTCTGCCCATCGAATTAGGCTTATTTACCATGAATTAGCTAAGCAATGCGATCAAAACTATGTCCACTGGAAAAGCAAGTGGGCTTGATAATATACCAACTGAGATCTGGAAGATTTGAACTCTGTCACAACAATTATTAGAAGTTTCCAACAATGCCTATGCCACCGACTGTCTAGACATCTGGAAACAAGCTGCAATTATACCACTGCAAAAAATAGGAGGTTTGAGTGACAGACATAATTACAGAGGCATTAGCTTGCTCCCAACTGCAGCTAAAATCTACAATAAAATGATATCAAACAGATTGAAACCACACTTTGAAAAAATCTTGAGAATGAATCATAATGGATTCAGAGCAGCGAGGTCTACTGTCAGCCAAATTCTCGCTCATAGACACATCATAGAAGAGGTCAAAATACTCACAATACTCACCTTCATAGACTTCCGCTAGGCCTTTGACTCCATAAAAAGAAAGAAGATCCTGGTTGAATATGGAGTACCCAATGATATAGTGAAGGCCATATCAAACATGTATCACAATACCACTGCAAAGGTTATAACAGAAGATGGAGACACAGAATTTTTTGAAATCCATGCAGATGTCTTACAAGGCGATACTCCAGCCCATACCTGTTCATCATTATGCTGGATTATGCTATGTGAACAGGACTAGAGGAACATGAAAGCCTTGGAATTACAGTATCATGCAGAAGAAGCCGACGAAACCCAGCAACTTACCTAACTGATACAGACTTTTCTGATGATATAGCTCTTATATCGAACAACATCGAAGACGCACAGGCTCTACTGTCATTGGTGACGGACGCCGCAAAGAAGCAATGAAGCTAAGACAGAATATATGGTCTTCAATCATCAGCAAAAAACAAGTTTCAAGATAAACCAAAAAGAACTGAAACAGGTGGAAGATTTTTAATACCTTGGATCATGAGTAGACAATTCTCTGAAAGATATAATGATCTGGAAAGCCAAGGCATGGTCAGCCATGAGAAAGATTGATAACATCTGGAGGTCAAATATGTCAAAAAGTCTCAAGACTCAGTTCTGTCGAGCTACAGCTGAATGAACACTGCTTTACGGAGCTGAGACCTGGACAAATCAATGGAGAAAGACCTTGAATGATGGAACATACACACGCTTCTTGCTTCATGCACAAAACATCAACTGGAGACAACATGTCACAAATAAAGACCTCTATGGTAATCTACCACAAGTATCGGAAACAATCAGAAAACTAGACTCGGACTAGCGGTACACTGCTTCAGACACAACAAACCAGCGTAATTGGTGCTACTGTGGAAACCAACCCATGGACAGATAAGACCTGGCAGGCCTTTTGATGATTACATATACATGCTTCAAAAGGATGCTGGCCTAAGCACTGAAGAACTAAAAGTTCTGATGAGGGACAGGGAATTGTGAAGGAAGTTGACCATGGAACCGGGTGCGCCCAACTGATGATGATGTTGACGATGATGATGACGATGATGACAATGATGATGATGAAGCATTTGCAAGGTTATTTATCATTGAGAGGCGAGACCGAGAAACTACATAACCCGCTAATGGCTTGTAGAAGTTTGAAACCGGGTACCCAGATGGTGTATCTGTGAATATTTCAAGTAGTAGTACATTTGCATTTAGGTCAAACCTGGTATCTCTACACAGTGAAAGTTATCCGGCACGCTCGTCAGAATTCATATTCCGAATTACCTATATGCGCTCATGAGCATGCAGGTCCGATTTAAAAATAACTTTCATGTTGCGGTTTTCTTTATGAATTATTACTATTATTATAAATTGATACACATCATATCTTCAACTCTATCTTATGAAAACCCAACAAGACGGATCTTCGATTCATATTTCCTAATACGTATTCTATGGTAGGTATTGGGCGTCTCTATCAAAACATTGCTTCTGATCATTGTGTCAACACAGGTGGCGCTATTCAGCACAGACCTGTGTCTTATGACGCATAACTAGCCTCTGATGGCTAAATATCCATCCGCTACCATTTTTCTCAGCGTTTCTGCCGCGGAACTATATAAAAGTATTTTTCTTGTTTTGAACACATCCTCCTATCATGATTTATATTTCAGTCAGTTTGACAGTGGTTGCCATGACATATACTGATAAAGGTTAATGACAAGACCAGATGGCGAGCTGGTCGAAATCAACCAAAAACATCTTATGACTCCGCAGTTTTTAAGATACAATACAGTAGTTGTAATTCTAAACCAATTTTGTTTGCGATTTTAACTAAGGTGGTATCTTTGTGGAATGTTAGTGCGAGACTATTACCCCATCAATATTAGTTAGTGTTGACAATGTATAGAAATGTTTTCTCTAGACAGCTTGACGAGTAATTAATTGATTATGATGTGTAAAACTTTCATGTGATTGGTTGTTTGTTTGAAGGCAAGGCCTTGGAGTCTCTTATACTGATTGTAATTGGTTAAGGAGTGACAAGAAATAAAGAGTGATTTAATGCTGTCTCGGGTGAAAACCAGGGACTTGGCAGAGAATCGTTTGGGAACATGAACGAAGCTTGTGTGTGTTTTTGTCAGCCTAGCGTGGAAACGACCGAATCCCGGTTACCTAAGTGAAAGGTTTTTAACCATCAAAAATACCTATCACACTCCCCCGATTTTTAGCAAGATTTAATCTTTAATGAGTTGATCAATTAAAATAACACACAACACTCATCAGAATATCTTATTTTATTAACATTAAAATGCATGTAAATTGGGAGGTCAAAGGTCTAATTTTTCTCAATATTGCATTGACACGCAGATCGCCGCAAACCAACCGAATAGCGTCACCTGTGTTGACACAAAGTGGAAATAGTTCCGACCACTTTTCCCGTAGTTCCACGCGCGGTATGTGTCAGATCGGTTAGTTTGCGGCGATCTGCGTGTCAATGTGCTTCTGATGCTTATCTGCAAAAAGAAAATTTTTCCGGGATATTTGAAACCGAAATTGTCATCTATTTGTAAAACCGTCGCTGATTGGCTCCTGAGTTGAATGGCGATTTCGGTTTCAACAACACCCAGGAAAGTGTCACAGGTTCTTTGTGTACGGTAGTTAGTGTGTTCGTGTGCAAGCAGTTGTCTTAATGTTTCCCAAGCGGGTCGTTTGACTGGTATTTTTCCCCTTGATGTATAAACAAGCCAAATGAGGAAGGTAGCCCTATCATGGAATTCATGAAATTAGTTTTGTACTCTGTGCTTTATATGTTTTATTATGAGCCTGAGGTTAATCAATAAACTTTACAATTAATCACCTTACACAATTGTCACATCAGAAGACAATTCCTCATATTGTATATTGAAAATATATAAAGTCACATAAATATCTAAATTAGTGAATACCAAAATGATCTCTTGTAAATTACCATAAATTCCTGTCCATAAGGATGTGTATTCAAACGGTTATGTTAAGATCAATTTCAATTTAATTGTTAAAATATACTATTAACTTATTTTTGTAAGAAGCCATTTCAGTTTAAAGAAAGAAATTAAAATTGTTTCGCCATCTAAAAAACAAATCATAATAAGTTTGTTGGATCAACGGGATATAATTGTAGAACATAGAATATATACTTCAAAAGTACTAGTCAGTAAAATAATTACAGATGTTAACCATTAAGGCACGTAAGGCAAATTTTCGCAGAAAAATAAATATTTTTATTCTCCAAGAAAATCCGATTCATAACTTTGTGTAAGTGTAATTATTAACCAATTCTCTGTAATCTCTTGCACATTTGCATACAGAATCGGCATATATACCTAGTTCTATCCTTCTTGCGATCCAAATGCATTTATTATTTGTATATGTAAATTATTTTTATAATTAAGAAGACATTTGACGGGGTTATAATTGATCACTGTTTCGTTTTCAACATTTATATTGCCAACATATGACAATATTACATACCCTAGGACATATCACACATGACGTAGAAATATATTTACAAACGTCTAAAAAAAAAGCTTTGCAAAATTCTTTCAACAACGTGAGTGACAACAACGTAAGTGATGAAAATTAAGCAATTTGGGTTACAATTTCA